GGTTGTGGCTGTCCCCCAGGTGCAGGCAGACGTTCTTCTCTTTGACCGCGTCCTTCCCCAGCAGCTTGTAGCCAAACGTGAGGTCAATCCAGTGGTGAAGATCCTGAGAGACTTCCCTGCTCTCCAGCAGCGTGCGATGGACTTCAATGAACTCCTGGCAGGAGCTGCACCAGGCTGGCACAGCCAGGTCGGGCATGTCGGGGTGGATGGATCTAAAGATGGTGGGGTCCGTGTAGAACTCCGGGATGCACTCGTCCGGCGTCCAGCTCTGCATGCGCTCCATGCTGGCCGGATACTCGTTGGGCTCCCACTGCGACCGCACGTGGCCGCAGAGCACGGCCTTGGGGGTGCGCCGGGCCGTGTAGACGTAGTAGGTGATGTCGGAGAGGACGTCGGAGATGTGGTGAGGGACGTGGAGCTGTTCTCCGCTGGCTCCTCCGGCCGCAAAGGCCTGCTTGGTCATCTCATAGGTGAAGTCCAGCTGCTTGTCTCCTTTGTTGAGGCGGAACTTGGATTTCCGCAGGTCTCGGAACTTGCCGTTCCGGGTGGTGAAATCCACCACCCAGGGCAAAACCGGGTGGTAGTTGGGGTCTCCCATTCTCCGGCCAGCCAAGCGATTCAGCTGCATGAGGTAGTGGAAGTTACTGACTCGCCCGTGCACCCAGTCCAGCACAAGGCTCCTGAGCTCCTCCTGGCAAGCCATGCACCTCGCTGGCTTCCCACTGTGCTCCGCAGCACTGCTTTCCTCAGCCGCACTTCGATCCCCCTCGGCCTCCTTCAGCTTCTCGTACTCGCGCAGGTTAATTCTGAGCCGGCTGCACAGCTTCTCGTCCACGGCCACGTCGCGAAGGGAGAAGGGGCCGCACGCCAGCCCCGCGTGGTGACAGGCCCGCACGGCCTGCAGGATGTGGAAGAGGATGAAAAGGACTTTGGCGTGGCTGTTGGCGAGCTTTGCGGGACTGAAGGTCACCATGTCATGCAAGCAATACTGCACGTGGGGGTAGATGACGTACAGCATGCTGGCTGACTCCAGGAGAGCTTCTGCTTGGAGGAGGTTTGGGCAGAACGGCCCCTTTGGGGCTGCCGGGCCGTCCTTGGCAGGAGAGGGGCACTGCGCGCTCCTGCCCACCGGGAGAAAAGGGAGGCCGTAGAGCTTCTGGAGAGCCCCACGGAGCACGTCCAGGGCCGGCGCCGTGGGCACCCTGGGCGCGTGGCAGTAGGGCTGCACGTACAGGCGGTGAGCTCTGTGCCACAAGTTTCGGTAGTTCTGGGAGGCGACATCCTGCATGAACCCCTGGAGTGTTTCCGAGGCCCCGCGTGGCTCGTCCTGCGCGCCGGGGGGCAGCGCCAGCGGGGACCGCAGGATCTCTTT